CTACCACAGGGCCAAGAGGACTACTCTCCTCTGGTAAGTCTCCAAGCGAGTCAGGACCTGGAACAACAGCGGAACTGGGGGAAAGAGGTACAGGAACCCCCACCTTAACCAGTCCTGCCAAAAGACATCAATCCCGACGGCCTTGCAGTCGGGGAAGGGCGCCACGTATATCGGAAGACGCCGCGACCACACTAAGGCGAAGAGGTCCATCTCCGGGCGCCAAAACATCTAGGAGAGCCAACTGAACGAGTCGGCGTCGACCGTCCATTCCATGGACAGAGGAATGAACCGAGACAGGCCGTCTGCCAGGACGTTGGACACCCCTCAAACGTGAACTGCCAGAAGAGCCATACCACGAGAACTTAGCAGACAAGTCACCCGAAGTGACCAGCCCCAAAGAGCCATGGACCGCATCGAACCCCCTCGGTTCAGACAATGAACCACCAAGGAGCAGTCCAAATGGAGCCTGATTGTCAATCCACGGGCAACTGAACCCTCTGAAGAGAAAACCACACCACTGCAAACTCCGTGCTGTGGGCTCGACGGAAGGACAGACCCCTCCGCCCCTGGCCGGCCTAGTGAGCACTGGTCACAAAGCCCCAGACGAGAGAGGACGCGTCCGTGAACACACCAAGTGAGGTCTCAGGTAGGCGCCAAGGCACTAAACCCTGGAAAACCTGAAGAGGAAGCCAGCGACACAGCAACCAACGCAAGGCCCCTGGGGGTCGCGAGAGAGGCAGAAGGGACGTCCCCAAAGGAACCAGAACAGCCGACGAAGCCAAGCCCGACCCAGTGGGTACACCATCATCGCAAAGTTCAGGCTCCCTCACAGACCCTAAAGCAACAGCCGGGTGACCCAGGAGCCCTCCAGAAAACGGCAAAGGCGGGAATGCAGGCGAAGCAGAGATCCAGAAGGGAGAGACAAGGAAGCGGTCCAAGAGTCCCAAACAAGACCCAGCCCAGTCCGAACCTGGGAGGGGACCAGATGGGACTTCCGCCGGTTCATCAAGAACCCGAACCCCGGCGAGCTGGGAAAGAACCAAATTCCTGGCGAGCAGACAAGCGGACTGAGTGGGAGCCCATACCAGCCAGTCGTCGAGGTAGGCCAGCATCCGAACACCTACAAGACGCAGACGGGCCACCACGACCCGGGTAAAGCGTGTGAAAACTCAAGGTGCCAGGTTCAATCCGAACGGGAGACAACAAAAGCGGTAACCGACGGGCCCCGCCAAGAAACCAAGCCAGTACCCTAAACCCCGGATGAATCGGGATGTGCCAATACACATCATAGAGGTCCATGGACACCATCCAAGTGCCTGGCTAAAATAGCAGCCAGACCTGGGACAGAGTAGTCATCCGGAAGGAGGGGCAATGAACCCAAGGGTTCAGACAGGACAAGTCCAGAATGAACCTCATATCTGCACAGTCCCATTTTGGGACTGGAAACAGATGAGAAACCCATCTGAGAGATGTCGTCATTTTGACCATGCCCAAGTGAACCCGTAGGAGAAGAGAAGTCCTGCTAGCCCCGAGTCCCCCGAAGGAGGAGCCATTCAACGCCACCGCAGGCCGTCGGAAACGACCTGAAAAGCCCACGAATCGTGGAACCAGGTGTGAGTGAACAGAGCAAGCCTCCCCCTCCAATCACCACGTCAATGGGATGCACCATGAAAGGGCCTGTGACCCTTACAAAAACCCAAGCCTTGCATAGAGCGAACACCTCGCCAACCAGACGACGACGATTCCAAAGTCCGCGCCTGCTCCAAAACTGGTACCAGTGGCCTACCCCGACGAGCAGAACTCCGAGCCCTGGCACGACCCCTCCGGGAAGGCCCCCCCTCCCCGGGACCCATTGAGAACCAACAAACCTAGACCCAAACAGAATGAAACAAATATCCAAACCTGAACGAAGACGAGTCCATAATAGAGGCCTAATCCGGGACGGCAGGAGGCAAGCCGCAAAGGAAAGGCTGGCACAGCCGTAGAAGCCGGATGGAAGGGGGCCCACCATTCAGACCCAGATACTTCAGCAGGGAAACGACTCGAATGCCTCCATCGCTACTCCGGAAGGGGCATTCCCCAAGACTGACCAAGTCTCAAGACCCTCTAAACCCTGCCCCGACTCCGAAACCCTCAGATGTTTCAGAGCCGAAAGCAGAGAAAAGAGGGGGGGGGACCAGATCGAACCACAACAGGGAAAGGACGAGGAGGACGCAGACTGAACCAAGGCCGAAGCGACCAACACCCCTAAGTCCGGGTCCCTATAAGCAAAAATATAATAAGAACTCTAATGTTCAGAAACAAAAAAAAACAAAAAACAATGAAATTCTTTTCAAAGAATTCAAGCACGGTCATCACTAGTTGGGAGGCATTGGTAAACTTATGTGCGCCATGTGCTTAGTTTGCCCATACGTGTATCAACAAACTCGAGCACCGAGGCAAACTTCCAGCACCGAGTCAAAACTTTTCGAAGAAATTGAGCTCGAGAACCAAAAAATTTGAAAACCGAGATTCCACTGTAGTTATTCAACTGTACAAGTTTGTGATGCACCACCATTTGGAGAGTTGTATTCAGGAAAGAAGACCTAAGCTTAAGAAGGACATATCTGCTTTGGACAAAGTTCCACATTGTAACAAAAACCATCCCAGAACTCGGTCTATCTAGGGTGGTGGAAAATGTCTTGACTCACAACCGTTTGTCACTGAATGGGTTCTGTTACTTTTGTACTTTGCAACTATTTAGAATGACTACATTTAAATTGTGTAAAGTCACTAAAAGTAATGCTATTGTTTTTCTACATAAAGCTCATGTGTCTTACTAAACTTAATTTACATCCAAACAGTGATATGGTTTTTCTTCTGTATGATTCCTCATGAGTATTTTTAGAATTCTTTTCCTGAAAAATCTTTAACCCTTTAACTGCGCAGCCTATAAATATGACACCCCACCCCCCTCCCCCCAGTGAGCAGGAAATAAATTCTCTTGAAAAAATTCTTTTGTTTTTTAAAGTGTCAAAAACCATTCCCTCAGTATGGGTATGTCAAAAAAAATTCGAACTTGTACTTACTTTGGCTGCTATGGGGTTGTAAGTTGGCGCGTGACGTCATCATTCCCTATTCGCCTGTGACGTATGCTCTCGGGGGCCAGTAGGGTGCCCGGGGCGGGGCACGTGAGTTGACGTGTATATATTTTTGTTTATTTTTTGCTCACAGTTCCAAATACATTTTATTTGTTTTTACATGCTAATCCTATGTATAATGAACCCGTACACTATATTATGGCAGTAAAACATCCGTACTGTCCGAGGACACTGTGTTACGTGCATGACACTTGTGTACATATATGTTGCACATATTTACCATGTATCATGCTAATTTATGTATATATACAATCTATTTACACACTATACACTGTCACACACTATATAAATTCACCATCAACACATTCAGAACACAGCGAGTGTAAGCAGCCACACCCAGCCAGCCCTCCCTCACTCCTCCAACATTGTATTCACCAACATTGCTCCTCCCCAGGGCAGCCTTGGGGCTTCCGGCGCAGCAATCAACCTAGCGAGTTGCAACAACCTAAACCTAACATGCAACGCTTGCACCGCCTGTACCCGTATAATGTCAACAGTAAACTGGGTAAACTGAGTCACAAGCAAACAACAAAACTCGCAGGACTCCGGGTCGAAAGTGTCACTGACCCAACATGCAGCTTGACCGAGTCAAAAACAGTGAGAGTCACCCTGAGACTAGGAGACAGAGTAACACTCAAACTTGCACAAAGCGAAGGGGGGAGAATGAAGGGTCACATCCATCGAATCCGCATGCCCCTGTGGGGATTCCCAGGGTCCTGAGATGGAACTCACGATCAGGGAAGCCCAGGCAAGGTACTGCTAAGCAGCGCCCAATTCTTTCAAACAGCTTTCAAAGTAACTGAACCCCAGGGACGTGTACACTCACAGGGACCTAGCCGGGGGGTACCACCAGAACAGATAAGCATACTCAGTACACAGGGGGCAACAACCAAGGCAGACATCCCCCCCAACCCACCAGATAGGCAACAAAAAGAAAACAATGCAAGAGGACAGCGTAACCAGGCAGAACAGAGCTAGCCGCTATGAATGATGAAAACAAGCTGCGCAGTACCCTGTGCCCCTACCAGTACAAACTGCCTCTTACCCTAAGGCGAACCAGGGAGCCAGAACACCCTAGCACATAAAGGGTGGACGAAAACCAAGCAACGACCAAGCAGAGGCAGACCTAAGGAACTTGTGGAAGGTGTCCCCAATCCCCAAGGACAGCACTTACTGGGCACCTAGGGAAGTGAACCCTAGGCGCATGCAGCCCGAGTACTGAAGAAATATACTACTAGCTTGTGCATACCCTATAAGAAAGCCGTCACCACACCACAAGGCACAGAGCCGAGACTAGATCTGGAGTCAAAGCACATGACCTCTGCCTCCATACGAAGGTTTCTATAGATCATTGCTCCTTGTGCCTCTCTGAGGGGGCCAGGTTCTGGCTCATGGTCCCCGGTAGGCCTAAAGAACTCCATACACATAACTGCTGCCAAAGTCTGACATCAGCAATATCAGCCGGAATAGCTCCGGGAGCCGACGGGGCTCCCCTAGAAAATACGTTTTATACAGAATAATACTCATAGGTACCTTACCTATATAGAGGACTCTTGTTGGTGTATAGGAGACAGTGAGGAAAGGGGTAGGAGAAGAGGCGTTAGTGTTTGGAAGGGGAGTCCCCTTCCATTATTACAGCAGAGATGACATTTCTGGGGTACTCTCTCTCTCAAATTTTGCATGCATACCACTAGGACCTGGTTGTGGCTTACTGCTTGCTTGCTTGTCTTACTAAGAATCTCTCTATAGACACTTGCTTTTCCCAATGTTTTTCTTAGGTTGAGCTTTAACACTGAGTTTCTTGGAACCCATGGCATGATATATAAGAACTTTTATGTTCAGAAACCAAAAAAAACACAAAAACAATGAAATTGTTCACAAAGAATTAAAGCACGGTCATCACTAGTTGGGAGGTACTGGTAAACTGAAGTGCGCTATGTGCTCGGTTCGCCCATACGTATATCAACAAACTAAAGCACCGAGGCAAACTTCGAGCACCGAGTCGAAACTTTTCGAAGAAATTGAGCTCGAGAACTAAAAAATTTGAAAACCGAGATTCCACTGTAGTTATTTAAATGTACAAGTTTCTGGTGCACCACCATTTGGAGAGTTGTATCCAGGAAAGAAAACCTAAGCTTAAGAAAGACATATATGCTTTGGACAAAGTTCCACAGAGCAACAAAAATCATCCCAGAACTCGGTCTTTCTAGGGTGGTGGAAAATGTCTTGACTCTAAAACCGTTGTCACTGAATGGGTTCTGTTACTTCTGTACTTTGCAACTATTAAGAATAACTACATTTAAATTGTGTAAAGTCACAATAAAAAGGTAATGCTATTGTTTTTCTACAAAAAGCTTCATGTGTCTTACTAAACTTAATTGACATCCAGACTTTTACCTGTTGACACACTCAACAGTGATATGGCTTCTCTCCTGTATGAATCCTCATGTGTATTTTTAAACTTGATTTTTGTGAAAAATCTTTAAGACACACTGAACAGTGATATGGTTTTTCTCCTGTATGAATCCTCATGTGTATTTTTAGATTTGATTTTGTTGAAAAATCTTTGAGACACTCTGAACAGTGATATGGTTTCTCTTCTGTATGAATTCTCATGTGTATTTTTAGACTTGATTTTTGTGAAAAATCTTTAAGACACTCTGAACAGTGATATGGTTTCTCTCCAGTATGAATCCTCATGTGTTTTTGATGATCTGATTTTCGGGAAAAATTTTTAAGACACTCTGAACAGTGATATGGTTTCTCTCGAGTATGAATCCTCATGTGTATTTTAAGATCTGATTTTCGTGAAAAATCTTTAAGACACTCTGAACAGTGATATGGTTTCTCTCCTGTATGAATCTTCATGTGATATATTAGATTTGATTTTTCTGAAAATTTTTTAAGACACTCTGAACAGTGATATGGTTTCTCTCCTGTATGAATCTTCATGTGATATATTATTTTTGATTTTTCTGAAAAATCTTTATGGCACTCTGAACAGTGATATGGTTTCTCTCCAGTATGAATTTTAATGTGTCTATCAAGACTCGATTTTTGTGAAAAATCTTTTAGACACTCTGAACAGTGATATGGTTTCTCTCCTGTATGAATCCTAATGTGTCTATCAAGACTTGATTTTTGTGAAAAATCTTTTAGACACTCTGAACAGTGATATGGTTTCTCTCCTGTATGAATCTTCATGTGAGATATTAGATGTGATTTTTGTGAAAAATCTTTTAGACACTCTGAACAGTGATATGGTTTCTCTCCTGTATGAATCCTCATGTGTGATTTTAGAGCTGATATTTTTGAGAAGTCTTTTAGACACTCTGAACAGTGATACAGTTTCTCTCCTGAATGGGCACTCATATTTAGCTTTGGAGTATTTCTGAACATAGTTTTAAACAATGAATATTTAACACAGATTTTTTTCTTTGTATATTTTTTGTAGGCTATTATATGAGACGTTTTAATATAATATTTTTGAACATTCAACACTGATTAGATTTTTCTTTTGAAGAAACATTTGTAGTTTACTTCAATTTAAAAATCTTTAAAGTTAGTTGATCCAAGAACTTAAATATTATTATCTAAAGAAATTTACTACATTTGATTACTGAAGTCTTGTAGACAATGATTATTATTATTATTATTATTATTATTATTATTATTATTATTATGAATAAATTCTTGTATGCTTTATAAATATTACAGAAAATTCTAAGTAACACATATTCATGATATGGTTTTTTAAAATGCCGTTATTGTGTATTATTAAAGGAAATGTTAAAAGATGCCAAACACTTGGATTGTGGTATCTGTAAATAACACAAGTTACAACATTGTAGTTAGCAGAGACAATCAGGTTACAGTGGTACCTCTGTTGTCAACAGATAGCTCGGAATGTCAAATATTGTAACATAAGTTTGCAACATTGCAACCGGGTTATAGTGGTACCTCTGTTGTCAACAGATAGCCCAGAATATCAAATAAGCTACAGAGAAAAATCCAATTTGGTAGAAATATAAAGCAACTGAATTGTCAAGACATACGAGAATGGAAAATCTGATTTGTAAATTGATGGTATGGTTGATTCGTAAATAGTAAAATATTGTGCTTATTATATTATAAAATATGCTAGACTTAGAATATACTATACAATATGTCCTGTGAGTTATCAAGTGTAAAACATATATATAGTACATATGTACTCCTCAACATGTAGTTCCCAACAGGAGATTTAGTGCATGTAAAACTTTGTAAATATGTAAAACAAACACTGTGGCAAGTTTGTTCAAGATTTTACAATGTCAGTGTATCTCTTCTATAGATATATATCTATCCGGTCTTGTTCAAGTTTGTTCAAGATTTTACAATGTCAGTGTATCACTTCTATAGATATATATCTATCAGGGAGCCGGTCGGCTGAGTGGACAGCACACTGGACTTGTGATCCTGTGTTCCTGGGTTCGATCCCAGGCGCCGGCGAGAAAAAATGGGCAGAGTTTCTTTCACCCCTATGCCCCTGCCCTACGGGCTGCTTCCTGGGGGGTGGAGGCCTGGTCGAGGACTGGGCCGCGGGGAACACTAAAAAAATCCCGAAATCATCTCCAGATAACCTCCAGATATATATCTTCTATAGATATATGTATCACCCATACATACATAGAGACATGTATGTAGAGTGCTTTGGATGAAAGTGTGTTTATCGCAATGGGTAATAAGGAAACACATGACTATTCTATCTGAAAGAGTTGAGTAACATCCATCCACAGGATGTTGAGGATGCGGATGTAACAATCAGGATGTTGAAATTAGTTCAAGACAACGTCTTACCCAAATTCATGAAGTACAGTTTTTCTGACACTGTAATGAGTTTCATGACACTGCTGATGACAACCACCATGTATTCAGTCTATCTGACAGTGTTGTGCTTCATGTCACTGCTCACACTATGATGTATATGCAGTCAATCTGACTGTGTTGTGCTTCATGTCACTCACTGCTCACACTATGATGTATATGCAGTCAATCTGACTGTGTTGTGCTTCATGTCACTGCTCACACTATGATGTATATGCAGTCTATCTACCAGTGTTGTGCTTCATGTCACTGCTCACACTATGATGTATATGCACTCTATCTGCCAGTGTTGTGCTTCATGTCACTGCTCACATTATGATGTATATGCAGTCTATCTGCCAGTGTTGTGCTTCATCACTGCTCATGCCATCATGTACACAGCATTGTTGACACACATGAGCTCTAAGCCTAATAGGTGGTGGCAGAGCAGGTGTCAGTCTTCTGATGAGAGTAGATGCTGCAAAAGAAACAAATGAGAAATATTCAGGTCCTTAGGACAACAAATATCAAATATATATAAACTTTGGTATTTAATAAAACTTTCTCATACTAGGCAATTTTTATTTTCAGGACTGCAGATTTTCTTTTGCAATGAATATATGGGTAAAAAAGGCTATACTATATACTAAACAGGATAACTACATATTAATGTAATAAATTATGAATCAGAGCTCAGTGTAAACTGATCAATCTCTACTATTTCACTCCAGAAAACAAGAACTATATATTGATTTTACTTTTTTTTTTTTTTTGCTAAATATATTAACCCTTAAATTGCGCATAGCATCATATGATGCTTTGGAGTACTATGCAAGATTTAAACGACCCGCGAATACACGGGGTTCACCACACCTTCATCAGGGCTCTTGTAAACAGACACAATTTAAAAAAAAAATCGTGGGCCAAAATTCCCGGGTGTTAGGGACCTCAGTATTCAGTGAGCTACCAAGCCTTACGCACGCAGCATAAGCTCACAGCACTGCTGTTCAGCTTGTGACCACAGCATGCCCTAAAAATGCCATAATATACTTGTTCATGCTATTATGTAGTGATGATATTATTACAGAAGACCCCTGACTGTGATAAAACTGACCAGGGTTCTGATAATAGCAGGATTGTGGTGATATTTAGCGCTGTGCTCCATGGAGGGAGGAGTAATGCTGTGGGAGGGAGTGTGGTGGCGTTGTCTTCTGACTTTGTGTGGCCACCTTTTATTGACTGCACACACCATACCAGCTTAGTGGTTCGCTATGGTGAACACAAATGTAGATACTTATATATAACGTGTGTATAGAGGGTATAAACAGCAATAGGAGTAGGTTGGGAGCCGCCATTTTGGTGAGGGCAGTGGCGTCGTCTGCACAACTTATCATGTTGTTTACCAGTGACCACGATGGTCTTTGGGCACCATACCAGTTTATTTGTACAAGTACGGTGAATAAAACACGAAGATATGTATATATAATGTGTGTATATAGCGTAATAACACCACAAACAGTATTGTTGGAGGAGAAATATTAGTGCGTCTGGCCTTGAGGGCGGCAGCCATCAGCTGACTGTGTGAGTAGCTACGCCTTTGTGCCTTTACTCACCATACAAGCTTAGATGTACAGTTATGGTGAACAAAACATATAAATACTTATATATAACGTCTGTATATAAAAGCAAAAACAGTATGGTGGCAAGTCAGGTGAGGTGAGGGAGGGAGAGAGTGGCAGCCAGTGGCGGGCTGCCACTGGCACTGCCACTCAGCATACCAACTTAGTGGTTCGTTATGGTGAACACGAATGTAGATACATATATATATATATATATATATATATATATATATATATATATATATATATATATATATATATATATATATATATATAGGGTCTGTATATAGTGAATAAAAGCAAAAATAGTATTGTGGGAGAGTCAGGTGACTTGAGGGAGGGAGGAAGTAGCAGCCAGTGGCGGGCTGCCACTGGCACTGCCACTCAGCATGCCAACTTAGTGGTTCGTTATGGTGAACAAAACATGCAGATACTTAACTTGTGTATATAGTGTAATAACCGACAAAGTATTTGTTCACTGTTTGATGAACATAATTGAATCAACAATATGCACACCATATTTTTGAGTACAGCGATGATTCACTCATTTTATTATATAAATATATCACACTACACACTATTGAATAATATTACAGCAAAAAACTACAAAAAATGAATCAGAGAAAAATCAATATACAGTATGCCACTTACGATTTTTTTATTATTTTTTGCATGATCAGTGAACACAAATTAACAGGTTAGGAAGAAATTTTTTTTTTTTTTTTGTATGCACCTGTGGGTGTCAAATGGTATATAGCCATGCGCCATTTAAGGGTTAAACACACTTTCGCATATTTATATACAATATATACATGCAGACATTTTGATAATATAATTATAATCAAACATAGTATTAATAACCTCTTCATTGTACAAGAGTTAATATAAATAAATAAAATGATACGTCAGCACTGACAGCTGGTACACTACCTTAACACTGATAGCTGGTACCCTACCTTAGCACCGATAGCTGGTACACTACCTTAGCACTGATAGCTGGTACACTACCTTAGCACTGATAGCTGGTACACTACCTTAGCACTGATAGCTGGTACACTACCTTAGCACTGATAGCTGGTACACTACCTTAGCACTGATAGCTGGTACACTACCTTAGCACTGATAGCTGGTACACTACCTTAGCACTGATAGCTGGTACACTACCTTAGCACTGATAGCTGGTACACTACCTTAGCACTGATAGCTGATACACTACCTTAGCACTGATAGCTGATACACTACCTTAGCACTGATAGCTGGTACACTACCTTAGCACTGATAGCTGATACACTACCTTAGCACTGATAGCTGGTACACTACCTTAGCACTGATAGCTGGTACACTACCTTAGCACTGATAGCTGATACACTACCTCAGCACTGATAGCTGGTACACTACCTTAGCACTGATAGCTGATACACTACCTTAGCACTGATAGCTGGTACACTACCTTAGCACTGATAGCTGATACACTACCTTAGCACTGATAGCTGGTACACTACCTCAGCACTGATAGTGGTAGACACGTCTTTATATTTCCCATGACCAAACTGCTCTCACTGACCAATAAGTAAGAAGCTATCAGCTACTGACAATTGAGGATCTGCAATGGCTGGAAATATAATGCCACGACACCAAACATACCAAGTCACTGACCGATAAGCAAGCAGAAATCAGCTACTGACAATTGACGATCAGCAATGGACAGAAATATAATGCCATGACACCACACATACAAAATCACTGACCATATGCTATGCAGACACAACACAACTAATTACAGGTTGACAATATGACTCACAAAGCACAAAATGAAACCAATGGAATCATACAATGGGAATACATCTGGTGTATCCAGGTAATGAAATCATACAATGGTAATGCAACTGGTATATCCAGACAATGGAATCAAACAATGAGAATTGAACTGGTGAATCCAGAAAATGGAATCATACAATATCTGCTTGATGGGGTTCTGGGAGTTCTACTTCCCAAGCCCGGCCCAAGGCCAGGCATGACTTGTGAGAGCTTAATCCAACAGGCAGTTGCTTGGAGTGGCCCGCAGGCCCACATATCCACCACAACCCGATAGTTTTCTTCAAGAAATGCCGGAATGATCTAGTTTTCTCTTGAAGATGTCCACGGTTGTTCCAGCAAGATTTCTTATACTCGATGGAAGGATGTTGAACAACCGTGGACCTCTGATGTTTATTCAGTGTTCTCAGATTGTGCCTATAGCACCCCGTGCTCTTCACTGGCTCTATTCTGCATTTCTTCCATATCGTTCATGCCAGTATGTTGTTATTTTACTGTGTAAATTTGGGACCTGGCCCTCCAGTATTTTCCATGTGTACATTATCTCTCTCGTCTCTTATCTAGTGAGTACATTTGGAGATCTTTGAGACGATCCCAATAGCTATGTATGCCGTATATGTTCTCTGTAAGCCCTCTATTTCAGCAATTTGTCCTACTCTGAAGGGGGAAGTGAGTACTGAGCAGTACTCAAGATGGGACAGAACAAGTGTTTTGAATAGTACAACCACTGTGATGGGATTCCTATATTTGAGCGTTCTCATAATCCATCCTATCATTTTTCTGGCTGACGCAATACTTGCTTGGTATTGGTATGCTCCCTACACATTAGATCGTCAGACATCATCATTCCCAAATCCTTTACATGCTGCTTTCCTACTGTGGACAGATTTGATTGTGTTTTGTACCCTGTATTATGTTTGAGGTCCTCATTTTTACCATGCCTGAGTACCTGGAATTTATCACAGTTAAACATCATGCTATTTCTGTTACCCAGTCAAAAACTTTATTAATATCTGCTTGTAGTTTTCAATGTCTTCAGCAGGGGAAATTTTCATGCTGATTTTTGTCGTCTGCAAAGGATGATACGAAGCTGTGACTTGTATTTTTGTCTATACCTGATATGATAATAAGGAAAAACGGAGGTATAAGGTCTGTACCCTAAGGTACAGAGCTTTAACTGCACTTGGACTCAATTTTATATGGTTGACTGT